GGTATGAATAATTAATTTTTAAAATACTTTTTTATTAAATAATTAATTACATATTTAAAATTTTAAATAATAATTAAATAATTAATTAGTAGTAGAATATTTAAGTGTTTAATGAGTTAATTAATAGTATTATTAATAATTAAATCTAATTAAATGATATTTTTTTTTTACATTTTACCCATATGGTTTGTTAAATCTAATTAAATGATACTTTAAAAATCAATAAAATCATTAGTAGAAGTACAAGTTCAATAAATAGTTATTTAAAAAAAGTAACCAATTAATTAGGTAATTATCATATAATTAAATATCAAATATTTCTTAAATTAATATTTAAATAAATAGTTTGATAATTAATACAACAATAAGTAATTAAATTATTTCATAACTAAATAAGCTTCTAATTTTATTATTCTATCATTATAATTTATTAACACTAATCAAGATTAAAATTAATTAGACTTGTGTCTAGAATATAAATTAAATTAAAATTTTAAATAAACCAATCATTTTAAAAAATCAAACAATTATTTTACTCAGGATTTATTAAATCCGCATTTACAGGATTGACTAGATCCTATTTGTTGCAACATACCCTAAGGGGCTGTTTGGTATCGGATTTATCGTCGGATTTACGCTAAAGCCAGCCAAACGGTTTTACAGCGCGCGTTAAATCCCAGGATTCAATAAATCCCAGATTTAAGGATTTATGGCTTAAATCCCGAATTTACTAAATCCCTCGATTCAGTGGATTTAACTGGAATTAAAGAATTGAGGAAGACTTACCCACGGCGCCCATGTCGCCAAAGCTCAACAGTTTCCGAAGAAGCGCGCGAAATGGAGAACCTTCATTGCCAGCAAGCTCCAGTTGTTTCGTCCGATAAAAATATCGTAACTTCCAACCCGACAAGAAGGGAAAATCGTCGAAGGAGCGAAGTCAAACAGCCACGAAGGAGCCGAAGTAGTGACGCGCGCAATCTCTACACCTCCTACGAAGCAACTAAGCCGAACATCAACAACAAAAAGAAAAGATGAAAGGCGAACCCTAGACGCCTCAAAGTTATTATTGATTAACTTAATTATTATAATTTAAACAATTAATAATTAAATTAATTAATTAAAATAATAAATAGTATAATTAGTGCATACATTAATTATCTAATTTAACTTAATTGACTAATTAATGATATAATTAGTAGTTAAATATTAATATAATTAGCTAATTTAATTCTTCATCTGTCACTTTGGTCAATTTTAGTTTGTAATTTATTTTTTATTGAATTTTCGATCATTTTATATGAACTAAAATTGTTTTTATTATATTTTATGCAATGATATTAAATTTCATAAATATCAACTTTAAATTTAAATCCCTAACCGTCATAAATCATGATATATATTATCAAATAGTTTATCATAATTTAACAGTATTTAACATTTAACATACCAAATAATTTTTAGGATTTAGCATATTTCAGATATACTAAATTTAGATTTATAGGATTTATTAAATTCCACTAAAGTTAAATCCCACATGTTGCCAAAAAGCCCCTAAAAATAGAAGGAAACGAGCCCTTAACTGCGAGTTATTTTACCGCCTTGCTGGATGGCCGCGGCTATAAATTATTTTAGGAACGCGGGCGTAAACCCTAATTCTACATTTATCTGTATTGCAATTCCTTCCTCCCCCGAAATCATATAAGCTTCTTCGGTCGATGCTTCGCTGCCATCGCGGTAACCATATCCCAGTGGAGATTTCTCCTTTTAAATGTTTCTTGCGTTCTTCGCCTCTTCGTTACTCTCCGCATTAATCCCTTTCATGTCTTCGGAATTCCGCCTCTTCCTCGGTTCCGGGTTGCAAACCCTTGCTATTGGCCTTTCCTCGTTGCCATCACGAGTTACTTTCACATCCAATTGGCAGAAGATCAATCTCTTAATTATCGGCTCTTTCCAATTCACGAATCCGTGCCGCCACGATGAGTGATAAGAAGGTAGAGACGCATGATTTATGATCTCGTTTAATTAGTTTCTTTCGTCTAAAGACGAGATTTTGATTTGTTTTCTGGGTGGTATATAACGCGGGATTGACCTTTTTTTTCCTTTTTTTGCATTCGAGTGTAGTTCTCTATGTACCATGTTGCTTTGGCATTAAAGGAGTTTCATTTTAAGTTATTTTTCAATAGAGTTTGGGTTTTTTAAAGTTGGGGAATTGTTAGCACTTTTGTGTGCTTGGTTGTTGTTCTTGAGCCACTTATTAAAAATTGGGAATTGTGGACACAATTATTTGATGATTGTTAATAGGGCACCTAAATCTTATTGCTTGTAAAAGTTAGTCAACTCGTGCTTGTGACAAATTAGGAGGTTTGATTATTTTTACCTTTAGGATTAGGCTTGATATTTGATATAGATATTGTTTTCCTTAAATGGTTTTTTATCTGTTTCAGGATTATGCGAATTTAGGATGGCTATCTATTCTACGTAGATTTTCTAGAACAATAGTTGCGTACATGTTCTTTAATAAATGTGGTTCATTTTGCTAAGCAGGTGTTAATATTTGGGTCGTTCTCCGAAGATGAGACAAGGTTATTCCAAGTAAAAGCAAATGATAAAAGTGTGTCCCCTTTTGAAATGACTGGATTCCAATTTGGATCTTTGGATATCAATGCTCTTAGTTCTATCGAAGGTTTTGGATCTGAATTAAAAAGAAATGCATCTACTAAAACAAAAGTTTTTTCAACTGTGAATCTGAGCAAGAAGAAGAGCAAGGATGATGAAGCAGCTACTGGTCAAGTTGCAAAAGAATCAAAAGGGTTAGAAGCTAATGCAATTGCTAATGGTTGTGTACCTGGTGTTGAGGTTATCACTGATGAAGGAATTCATGAGGGCATGAATTCTCCCCAAATCTTGAAAGATGATAATTGCAGAAGAGATCTGCCATGCCCTACAGTCCAAGATGATGGGTTTGAAATGATAAAGAACCACAATGGTTTATTCAGCACTGTTGCAGTAGTTAATGATGCTGAGAATGCGCAGGAGTCAAGCAAACATACACATCTTTTTAGTGGTCTGCTTCCTCGAGGACTGATTAATTTGGGAAATTTATGCTTCCTGAACTCAACATTGCAGGCACTTTTGTCATGTTCACCTTTTGTTCAGCTTTTGTTGGATTTGAAAGCTAGGAATATTCCAAACGTGAGAGCTTTAAAATGCACTGTCTCTACCAGCTCAAATGATTTTTACGCTATCTTATTTTATTTTGTTATGAAAGTTCAAATACTTGTTGTGCAGATTGGCTATCCAACATTGCGTGCATTTGTTGATTTGATTTCAGAGTTTTGTTTGCCCAATGGTTCGAATTTGAATAATGAGCGAGAAGTTATTGAGGGAGGGAGGCCTTTCAGTCCAATCATGTTTGAAACTGTTTTGAAAAAGTTCACTCCAGATTTGCCGAGCCGCATGTCTGCCAGGCCTAGGTTTGACTCTATTTTCAGTTGTTCTATTAATCTTTATAATACAAGGATTGGACAATGGAAAGTTAAACGTTTTATTTTTATTAAACTCTTTTAAATTCAAGGATATTAAGTTCATCAATGTGATTAATAAAATATTATGTTACTTTTACTTAACAAGCTGAATTGCTACTCTGGTATTATATCTTTTAATGCAAGAACTTTTGTTGTTATAGTTGATATGGATATGAATGGTTATGTACAATGAACTACCCATATCCAATTATTTTTGAGTTCAAAAGTTAAAAAATGAAAACATGTCTCTATATTTCTAGTTTCATTCATGCTTTTCTTTATTTTTAATCCATCCAATTTTTATAGTTTTCAGATGTAGAGAGCAGATTTTCTTCAACATAAGTGTAGCTCAAATGATGTTTTCTATGATTAATTTGTAATTTTTTTAATCCTGAGATTAGAATTTCAGTTAGAGGCTTACTTATTTAATGTTTTATTTTCATCACATGGTGGACGATGATATGTAGGCTGAGGAGAATTTATTTTATCAAATTTTGTTTTTTATTTACTTTTATAATTGCCACATATCTGCGAGAGTGGCATTCTGCCAATTTTCCTAATGTTGCTAAATACTAAATGAAAATTTTCTTTGACCAGGCAAGAGGATGCTCAAGAGTTTCTAAGTTTTCTGATGGATCAAATGCATGATGAGCTACTGAGGCTTGGCGGTCATTTGTCAAGTTCAAATGGTGGGAGTTTGCCTCTCATTTCTTCTTCTGACGACGATGGATGGGAAACCATAGGCCCAAAAAATAAATCTGCAATAACTCGAACTCAGAGTTTTATACCTTCCGAATTAAGTGCAATCTTTGGGGGTCAGTTAAGGAGTGTAGTCAAGGCAAGAGGTAAATATCGTAATTGCGAATTCAACGGTATTTTTCCTTTGGCGTATATCTTTAATGGATCTTGTAGAAAGGCATGCTTTGTAATATTTTGATAAGTGATTATCACAACCACATTGTTAAGCAATCCGCTGTTAGGAATTGACTTCTGAATTTAATGTAGTTTTTTAATGAATAACATAGTCAATGTAATTCACTTGACCTTGCTGATTTCATTTTAGAGTTCTACCTTTAGAATTTATTTTGTGGTTTGAATCTTCTCTGAGGTTGAAGTTAAAATTCATTCTCAAACTTATTAGAATTTTTTTATTTAATCCGATTTGCATGTCCTTTGTGTTTTTAATGGATTTAATTTTTTTCCTTTGGTGTAGGAAACAAGGCCTCTGCTACAGTCCAGCCCTTTCTTCTTCTTCATCTTGATATTTTACCTGAAGCTATTCATACAATTGAAGATGCACTTCGCTTTTTTTCTGTCCCAGAAACTCTAGAAGGATATAGAGCCTCATCTGGGAAGGTGTGCCTTTGAATTCTTTAAGCTTTGTTGTGCCAAATTTTTAATATTCTGAAATAGATGAATGAAACCAACGTAATGTTCTTGTTGTTTGCTTTAGAGGGTGTATAGATTCCAAAATTACAGCACTGAAGGAACAAGCTCTTTTTTTTTTTGAAAATTTTGTGAACTTAATAAATGATTTCTGAAATATGATGATATAAATTATCTGATTAGTATCTAATAGTGGATGCTTTCTTTTGAGTTGGGAGCACTTGTGATTAGGGGTGTAAGTGAGCCGAGCCAGCTCGTGAGCCAGCTCGTGAGCCAGCTCGAGCTCGCGAGCCGAGCTTATCGAGCTCGAGCTCGAGCTCAAACTCTGCTCGGCTCGTGAGCCGGCTCGAACTATTACTAATATTTTTAAATAATATTTATTTTATTTAAATTTAAATAGTTAAAAATTTTTAATAATAAATACGGATTGCTAGTGACATTTGCATGCTTTGTCAAATCCCATGCAATCCGGTGTCAAATCAAATATTAAATAATGTATTAAAAAATATGGATGGCTAATTAAAACAGTAAACATTTACATGAATAGTGCTGCAGCTTTTTTAAATATTATAATATAATAAAAAATTTGATTTGGGTGGTATTTGGGCGGTAAAAGGAGTTCTTCAAGCAGGAGCTTTTTTTTTTTTTTAAACACTGCAGCTTTATTTTGAATAGTGCTGCAGCTTTTTTAGAAAAATTGAATTTTGTCATAAATGCTGCAGCTTTTTTGGAAAACGAATTGAGCTTGTCAAAGCTTGCGAGCCAGCTCGAGCTCGTTTATAGTAGGACAAGCTTGAGTTCGAGCTCACTTTCCGACTAACGAGCTAAGTTCGATAGTGCCAAAACTCGACTCGACTCGTTTACCCCCCTACTTGTGATAGGTTCTCCTATCAAACAGTTAAAGATAGATAAACGACAACTTTGAACTTTGTCGGAGAGCTCAAAGAAGGGTTTGGGTAGAAGAAGAAGAGATATTTTTCTGTTCCTTTTCTATTAAAGCAAGCCATCTTAATATCACCTTTCGGACAACTTTAAAGTTGGATCAATTAGCATTAGGCACTTGTTAGTCTATAATAATTCATAATTTAATGCAAATGACCTCTGATTTTTTTATTAGTTAAAGAGTGATAAAAGCAGCCTTGCCCTTGCCATTTGAAAATTTGCTTTCTAAGCTAGCAGCCCCATGCTCCTAGTCACTATTGGACCATTGACTTTGTCGATCTTGTTTCCTGTTTCGTCGTACATGAAGGAACTGCTCAAGGTTCCAACAACTTCCCAATTGCTTCGAAAAATGGCAATCCTCAAGTTCAAGTCATTTAATCGAATCAGCAATTTGTTGTCTAGCACCCATATAGCATCCTTTGGTTGCTCCTGTCCTAGCGAACTAAATATTTAACAAGGTGTTGGTCACTTTATTTGAATTTACATTTATTAAGAATGACAGGATTGCACGATGAGGTGGTTTTACCCTTATGTTGTTGGCAGTTGAGCAGGGTGCCAAATCAAATCTTGGTGGTAAGGCTTCAACAATTAGATGTGGAAAATAGGGTGGATGTGGGATTCCATAGGGAGTTCGAGCTTGCAAGAGGCTTTACCAATGCACATGACTATGGTTTACGGACTATATAGCGGTGAAAAAACTTATTATAGGTCTTTTATCGTGTGACAATTTGGCAATATGACTATAGTTTGATGATAACCAAGTCTTCTACGACATTCTGGACATTTTCATGTCAGTGATTAGTGTACTTTTTTTTTAATCTTATCTTCGCAACATCTGTTGAAGAGCCTGAAGGGTATTCTCACAATTAATAAAGATTTGACCCACCACATTGATGTTGGAGTGCTTGATAATGCATGTGTGAATGAATGGGAAGTGGAAGGCATCCATACAACACACTTGGATGGGTGCCATTTTAATGGCTGTATGATAAGCTATATCGTATGAATATTTTACCTAAGATAGTAGCTTTGCCCATTTGGAGGTGTGATCCATAGCAAAATAGCGAATGCATTATTCTAGGCTGCAATTTGTCATCTCAGTTGCTCATCAGTCTTCAGATAGTTTGTAGTGCCGTAATGTAGTTTGGTGTCGATTGCTTTGAATAACTCCATAATGAGTTAATACTTATGCGATCTCCATATGAGAGAATCATTTTGGGTGGGCCATGTAGTTTGCATATGTCCTTGATAAGTAGCTCGACAACCTTAGATGTTATAGATTGGGTTGTCTAGGTAGTGAAATGGATCTATTTTGGCCCAGGTTATATAATATGCAATTTAAAAATTATTAAGTAAAATTAAGCTTGTTGATCTAGAGTTTGTATTATTTGGGTCATGCTTTTGCGTATTCTTTGATCGTTGGTCCTAATAGTGAATGTAGAGCCGATTGATGTCAGCGTGCAACGATGTCTGTAATAGTGAACACTTCTCGTGCATAAGTTCGTTCACATTCTAATTTTGAATCCAACTTTTTACTGAAATAAGCGACATGATGTTTGTCTTGTGAGAGTATTTCACCAATTCTAAAACCTAGGCATCATTGTTAATTGTGAATGGCTTGAAAAAAATTATAAAGCTGGCACCGGGCAAAAGTTAAGGCTTGTTTGAGTTGGGTAAAATCTTTCATTGCCGTACAATCCATTGGAAACTCTTTTTTGGGGGAAGTTGATATAGAGTTGCAACTATATGAGCCAAATTACGGAAAAAATCAACGGTGGTGTCTGACATGATCGAGGAAGCCACGCATTTTGTTGCTGGGAGATCAACAAAGGGCAACCATGCACTGTGTTAATTTTTAACGGATGTGGGATGACGCAATTGATATTGATGATGTGGCCAAAGTATTTAATGCTGGTTTGTCCAAACGACCACTTAGATTGCTTGAGGTAAAAGTCATTGCATAATAAACAATCTAGCATGGTTCGGATGATGTTGAGATCGGATAAGGAGATGATGTACACCAAGATATAAAAAATTAGTCACAAAATTTTCGCGAATGTGGACAAATTATGCCATTCATAATGTTTTATAAGAATTTTGTCAAACCGAATGGCATGAAAAAGTTAATTTGTTTATAAATGTTGATAAAGTATGCTATTCATAATGCTTTGGAAGGTTTTCCGGGCATTTGTTAGACCAAATGACATGATGAAAAATTCATAATATTTGTCATTTGTGAGATAAACTATCGTGAAATTGTTAGAATCTTCCACACCAACTTGACGGTTAAATTTTTGAAGGTCTAAAATCGAAAAAAAATTACACTAACATAGATTTTGTCTAGGATTTCAGCGATCAGCGGAATCGGAAAATGGTAAAAATTGCTACTCAATTAAGTACTCTATAATCATTGCAAAATCGCCATATATACCTTCCCGTTTTTACCTATAGGATTAAGGAAAAGGGGCTTGTGGTCAGGTAGATAATTCCTTGGGCTAACATGTCAACTACCATTGCATCAATTGCGAAATTTTGACAATTTGAGTATCTGTATGGTCTGAGGTTGATCATTTGTGAACCTGGCTGTAAAAAGATATGGTGGTTGTTGGATTGATTTGGTGGTAGGTTACTTTTTGGATGGAAGTGTTTGGCAGAAGATAGTAAAAAGGTAGAGAGCTCAATTTGGATCGTTTGTTGTTGGGATAAGTAGACAGGTGATGCTGGGAAGAAGTCATTTGAAACTGGGAGTTGATAGTGTAGGATTGCAGTTTTTTTAATTGATTAACATGTATGCTTTCGATTGGGGGAGTTTGTATTCCACTATTCCAGTAGTTGGTTGTAACATCTCCTAGGAGTTGGGAGCCACTAAACGCCCAAAATGATATCAATGCCTTGGATTAGGAGAATATATCAGTTGAGGACCTTGTCATGATTTTAAAGGCGGATTAGAATGGCAGAGCATTTGTACTAGCAGAGGAGTATTGCTCCATTTCCTAAAGAACTTGGAAGGGTGGTGTTGCAATTACTTGAAGGTAGAGATGCTCAACGAGGCTTTGTTTTATGAAATTATGTGGAGATGCCATCAGTGAGGACTTATATGCACGCATTGTGAATTTGCCCCTCAATTCATAGAGTATTGGGCAGAACTTGACTTGCAAGCACATGTAATGTAAATGCTGGACCAGATTTAGTTGGGAGGCCCATGTGTTGAAGTGGGGAATAAGGTTCAGTTTTAGTTGGGGTGGAATTTGATCATTGCAAATCATTGTTGTCCAACATTAAGGAGAAGTAGTAATTGCATCAAGCCATCAAGGTAATATTTCTGTTGAAATTTTTGAAATTTGTATTTATATCCTGAACACCAAGTAAAAGTGCACATGTTGCATGAAGAGCGGTTGGTGGAAATTGAACTTATTTTTATTAGGGAGCCATTTCTATCTGTTAAAATTTTTGCTTGGTTCTGATTAATATACCTCTTTTCTTGTGCAGGCTGGATTGGTCAATGCTAGCAAGTCTGTAAAAATACAAACTCTATCAAAGATAATGATATTGCATTTGATGCGTTTTAGCTATGGGATGAGGGGTAGCTCCAAGTTGAACAAACCAATTCATTTCCCTTTGGAACTGGTCATGGGACGTGAATTGCTTGTTACTCCATCTACTGAGGTGAGCTTCTCTATCTAATGCTGGCCATATGCCTTTTCTTCATATATTTATGTATTTGAAAATAAAAATTCAAGCTTTTCACAATTGATCCGCACAAGAAGAAGACAAAAACATAATTATTTTGAGAAAAAGCTGAATTACTGCTAAGTGGGGAATAGCTCAATTTATGAAGTTCTTATTAAATAAAAGCTCAAAATAGCCTCCAACCAATTAACAAGTATCCAATTTAGTCTTAGAATTTCTTATTGTCCCAATTTAATCCTTTGACTATTGAAAATTGATCAATGTTGGTCTATGGCCGAAAATAATTGTTAAAGTTAACACTAAAGTTAAATGTGACAGTATTTTAGATAGTGCAAGCATATTTGAGATTACAAAATTTGGAGGAAAAAAACTCCCAATGAACAAACTTACTCTCCAAAAATCTCCATATTGATGGTCGATGGTATCTCCTCCCATTCATCATTTTCAGTGACCTCAATTGAATTACACAAAATTAGAGGTTAGAAATCAAGAATTGGTTGTAAGTCACCTAGCCTTTAATAACAACAACAACAACAAAACAAAAAAAAAAATATCTATATTAGTGGCTTTCATCGAACCATCATGATGTACGACGCTCACTGTATTTACCATGGTCGGAGATTTTACTGCATTATCATTCATATTGTACTATTTTGCCATGCTACATCATTCAATTGCATGCCCAAAAATCTTAGACTTCTCCGCATGCACCCATTGTCAAAAACCCTAACCACTCGCATGTTGCTCATTGTCGATCGCCGCACCGCACTCAGCTCTTTGATTTTTGTCATACACTGCTTTAATGCTTCGCCGCTCTCAATTGGATCTTTTTAGTCATTCACCGCTTGATATGGCACTTGTATTGGATTGTTTTGGAAGAGGTTGCGATGTAACATTGTAAAAAAAAAGATAAATCTATGTTTTTACTTAAATGTTCCTCTTATATTATGAAAAGCAGGAGTCTATAGCATATTCTTTAAATTTGATAGATTTATTATTGGAGGGAACAAATTGGACTAGTTTTAATGGTTGAGGTACTAAATTGGGAAGGATGAAACTCTAGGATTAAATTGGGCACTTGTTATTAGAAGGGGGGGGGACTTTTTGGAGATTTTTCTCTCTTTTTTTTAATTTTAAAATTAAATATTTTGATTTGATTACTTTAGCTTAGTTATCTCGAATCAACATTTTAAAACTAAAAACCAACTATATCATACTTATGAAAGGTGAATTATATATTATTCATAAAGTTTCATAACAAAGTATGTATTAGAATTGACAAAACTTTAGCAAACTACTGTTAGAAAGTGGGGGGGGGGGACTTTTTGGAGATTTTTCTCTCTCTTTTTATTTTAAAATTCAATATTTTGATTTGATTACTTTAGCTTAGTTATCTCGAATCAACATTTTAAAACTAAGAAACCAACTATATCATACTTATGAAAGGTGAATTATATATTATTCATAAAGTTTCATAACAAAGTATTTATTAGAATTGACAAAACTTAAGCAAACTACTGTTAGAAAGTGCTCGTAGAAATCTACTATTCTGTGGCTGAAATTTAATTTCAGTTGCCCCAAACACAATTTACTAGAAAAATTATGAGGAATAACCAGAGAAAAACATTTTTAATTGATGATATACGAAAGAAAACAAACAAGATACTATGAACTTCAATTAGAGAGGAAGATTCGGCTCTCCCAAATTCCTAGTCGTCGGCTAGAGCCCAAACACCCTAAGAACAATCTAATTTCAACAAATAAACTATAACTCTAACCCTAGAGAAATAACATACTTAAAAGCAAACAATAATGATGTAAATCCCAAAACAACCCCTCCCTTGAATTTTCTCTCCTAACCAAGCTTTAATTTCTCTTTTTTCAAATGGTTGTTGGACCCCACCCCAAAGGGGACGGGAGTATGAGGCGGAATAGGTCTGCCTCTTGTAAACAAGGGCCGGTCCCTCCTGAACCGGACGAACAGCTATATATCGATTAAGATAGTTAATATCAACATATTTTTCAGCTATTTTAAATTCATACAATTTAATCTTATGTTTTGAAATGAAATCTAAATATTTCAACCCTTTTGATATTTGGGTATGTTGAAGTGCATTCCCCATCTTGTGTCCTAGTGGTTGGTCTTTAGGCCTACATCCAAGAGATCATAGGTTTGACTAAGTTCATGATTTTATGTGCGAGTATTGTGCTACAACACTCAGCAACTCCCTGTTCATAATGTCTACATGGATATAATCAGTTGCAGTGAACAAAAGAGCAGTGTATTTGTATTAAGTGTATATATGTGCATAATATGTATAAATTAACAAGAATGATTATTTCCAGCTGGAGTTAAAGACAGTCTGGAGGTTGAATGCTTAATTTGTTTTGAGTAACGTTTAATTGAACATCTAATTGATTGCAGGGTAGGAAATATGAACTAGTGGCGACCATTACTCACCATGGCCGAGAACACTCCAAGGGTCATTACACTGCAGACTGTAGACACTCCAATGGCCACTGGCTCCGCTACGACGATTCTTCTGTCACTGCTGTTGGCATGAACAAGGTGCTCCATGACCAGGCTTATGTTCTCTTCTACAAGCAAGTTTGATATTTTGCTTTCTGCCATGAAAAATATCACAGAAATCCTTCGATAAACCTTTTGTATTTATAGCTCTGGCATAGTATTTGGTGCTACTGGCTAATATGCCAGCAATAGGCACCTATACTTCCCAGCACTGGTATGTTCAGTAGGTCACTAAGGCTTGGTTGTTTTTGGTTTGCTTGGAGGCTTGTCCATCCAAGTTGCAATTTTTGCTCTTGTAACAATTTTGGGAGAAAAAGATCAAAATGATCTTTTAATTTTTTATGAAAGATTAAAATAGTTCTTAATTATATTATAAGATCATTTTGATCCCTCAACTCTTTAAAGAACAATCAAAATAGTTCTATTATAGGATTATTTTGATTTTTTTTTTAAAGACTTGAGGGATCAAAACAGTTCTTTAATATAGTTGGAAATCATTTTGATCCTTCGTAAAAGTCGGTAGTTCATTTTAGTTATTTTCTCCAATTTTATGTAAATATTTTGTTTATTACTCAGGTTGGATCTTTATCTCATATCTTAGTTTTTATGGTTGGATCTTTTTGAATTCTTTCTCCTTCTTCTTTCTTCTACTTATTTATTTTTTAAAATTGTTTTGAAGGTTTAAACCTTATTTAATCAACCATTGTTATAAGTATTAATTATCTTAGGTTTTATTTGTGATGATTTTTTTATTGCTTTTTAAAATAGAGTTTTGCACAAAATTTTAATTTTTGTATGAAAATTCTATTTTAGGAAGCAATAAAAAAGTCATTCCAAACAAAGCCTTAATAATCCTTATAACTTTTAGGTTTGTTTTAGAAATGGTTGACTATTGATCCTTGTTTGGTGATACATTTATTGTTGGTTTTAATTAATAATCGATCCGAGCTTTGGTTAACGATATTCAAGCTTTGGTTAACGATATTCAGGTCAGATTAATTTCGTGCTAGCTAACCAACCAAGCAATCCGAATTGATACGGTTGACCTCAATTCTCATACACTTCTACAAGCAAGAATGTGGCTTCGTTTGTGATGATTTTTTTATTATTTTATAAATTTATTTTATAAAATAAAACTTAGATCTTTCTTCATAAAGATCCTCTCACCACCCATCTTATGTGCTTGAAAGCTAAATATTCAATGAAAGGTTATTGCTTTCTATTACTAAGTTACTAAGCACCCCACCATTATATTGAATATCAAAGTATAAATAAAAATAAATGAATGTTTATAGATTGAGATATTTTTATAAAATAAAAAGTTGGCTGATATAGATTAGTGTGAAGTGTTCTAAATCTATTATTTATCTTTTTAAATTAATTTTCTTTAATTTTTTTTATATCAATAAAAACTCAATTTGCCCCCACATATATCTATAAATATGATTGTTACAATATTTTATAATTTTTAAAAAATGAAATATTTTCACATATCTTTTTATCCTCTCATATATGTTGTTGTTGAGCAATTTTATAAAGAAAAAAAAAACTTTTTATTCTCACGGAATGTGGCTCTCAATAATTTTCATATTAACAAAAGGAGAATTTGCATACGTATCATTTTATATTATACTATTTACTTATTTAATATTTAAAATTTTAATAACTTATGTCTATCATTCGTAGATAACTTTGATATCAAATATGTCACTTATATATTTCATTCTTATGACTCATATCACCTTATAAGATTTGATATTTCATTCTTTGCATCCAAATTTAATATATAGGTTCTAGGCTTGAAATATTAAAATTTTAGATATTAGATATGTAAATAGCATTATATAAAGTGATATGTATGTAAATCCCCCTTAACAAAATTATTCCCCTCTAAAATTTCATTTTTTACATTATTAAATATTAGGGGTGTCAATATTTAACATGACTCAAAAACTTGACTCAAACCCGATCCAAAAAGTTTTGGTTATGAATCCGTTTCGCAAACGGGTTGGGTTCGGGTTGGAGGATTTCGACTCATTTGAAACATTGGGTCCGGTCCGCCAACCCGAAGTTGACCCGTCCTCCTGTGACTCGCTAACCCAGACTTCGCTAGTCGTGACTTGCCCACCTGTCTCGCACAAGCTCACAGTGTCGTTATGTGTGAACTTAGCAAGTTCATACCGCTGGTGCTGGCGAGTGTGAACTCAGCCAGCAAGGGTGGCACCATGGCAGGAGGGGAGGCACCGTCACAGAAGCAGTCGATCTTGCTGGAGCCGCAGTCGCCTGTAGTGCAAAAGAAGAGGCTGGTGTGGGTGTCAGTGAAATAGTAAGTGCAAGCCTAGAGCCGACCAGACTAGGAAGTGGGGACTTGAAATGAAGACTCTCTGCTTGAAGAGAGAAATCGATGGTGTCAAGGGGAGCCGTGTCGGTGCCGGATAGAACCCCCGACCACACAGTGTGAATGTGTGTTTGCCTCATCCCACCATTGCAGGTTGTAGGTCATTTCGAGTTGACCCGAGGTCGGGTTCGGGTTCAGATTCCCAACCCATTTCTATAGCCGGGTTGAGTCAACTAAGAGTGGGTCAGGTTCAGGTTGACCCTATAACCCATTTTGGCACCCCTATTAAATATACTATAATAACTATAATATAATTTTATTTTTTAATTATAATTTATCAATATGCATACAAGTCATAATTTTATTTTCTTTTGCATTATATTTTTTCATCGAAGGACTAAGAGTTTTTAGCAATACTACTAATCTCCATTTCAAATTCATTAATTTCACAATTTTCAAATAACTTTAAAAATTAAATTTCAAACATTTTAAATTAAATTGTTTAAATAATAATATTTTTAATTATGATTTATAATAAAAAAATTTAAATAAAATAATTTTGAAAAATGTTTGATACATAGGTGGTAGGCATGAAATATTAAAATTTTAGATAATAGATATGTAAATAACATGATATAAAGTGATATGTCCTTAACAAAATTATTCTTCTTCTAATATTTCATTTTTTACATTATTAAATATTAGGGGTGTCAATATTTGACACAACCCGAAAATCTGAATCAAACCAAACCCGAAAATTCCGGGTTAGGATTAATCCGTTTTACGAATAGGTTGTGCTCATGTTGGAGGATTCGACATGTTTGAAACATTAGGTCAGGTCCGGGTCAACCCGCAAACTTGAAGTTGACCCAGATTTGATCCGTCCTCCCGTGACTTGCTAGCCAGAACTTCGTTAGTCATGACTCTGCCCACCTATCCTACACAAGCTCGCAGTGCCATCAAGTATGAACTTAGCAAGTCAATGCCGTTAGTGATGTTGAGTGTGGACTCAGCAAGGGTGGCACCGTGGCAAACTGGGAGGCACTGTTGCCAGAGCAGTCGGTCTTTTCGGAGCCGCAGTTGCTTCTAGCGCAGGAGAAGAGGGCGATATTGGTGTCGATGGAACAGTGAGTGCATGCCTAGAGCCGATCAAACCAGGAGGTGGGGACTTGAAATGAAGTGGCTCTATGCTTGAAGAGAGAAGCCGATGGTGTCAAGGCGAGTTATGCCAGCATAGGATATAACCCCTGACCTTACAGTGTGAATGTGTGTTTTCCTCATCCCATCATTTCGGGTTTACACGAACGTGAACAAGGTCGGGTTCAGGTTCATATTCCCAACCAATCTTTATAGTTCGGTCGGGTCAAGTTCGGATTGGACCTGAACCCGAACCGATGACTCGTTTTAACACTCCTATTAAATATACTATAATTACTATGATATAAATTTTATTTTGTAATTATAATTTATCAATATGCACACAAGGTCATAATTTTATTTTCTTTTGCATTATATTTTGTCATCCAAGGACTAAGAGGCTTTAGCAATATTGTTAATCTCCATTTCAAATTCATTAATTTCACAATTGTCAAATAACTTAAGAAAATAAACTTCGAACAATTTAAATTAAATTATTCAAAATAATAATATTTTTAATTATGATTATAATTAAAAAAATTAAATAAAATAATTTTGAAAAATGTTTGCTTCCCAATTAGAGTAAAGGCAAAGCGTTTTTTGATTTACTAAAAATATAAATCATTAATTACTTTTAGCATCTCCACTTATTCATAATGCATTCAGCGTTCCCGCATTCATATTACGTAATAATAACGAAAATTTCCAAACTGCCATTTAACGCGCCAGATCACGCGGATAATCCACGGCTCCAAAAAGCGCAACATTTTAGTCCCACATCGTCTATTTACAAGTAGCGACTCCCGCATCTGCCTATATAACAAAAAACTCGAAGCCTTTGCTCCAAAGAAAATATAGTGTAAAAGAAGTGCTTTGCTAGTAACCAAGGAGTATGGTATATGAATGCCAGTAGCCTAGATTAGAGACCTTCATTACACTCTCAAGGGGCGCTGGTCTACCATCTGCCCAAGTGGTAGAGTGGACGTCATAATTTGTGTTAGGGGGGTTCGCGTCCGCGCGGCCCCTACAAAATAAAAATTAAATTTTTTATAATTAAATTTATATAACCTATAAATAAAAATTAATTTTTTATAATTAAATTTAAATGTTTTTTTATTTAATAGTTAAAAGGAGCATATTAAATAGCTACATACTGTAAGGAATGTAATAAGTCATAGCGAGAAAATTAATATTTCTATTGTGTTTAAAATTAAGTAATATGTGTTATGAGTTAATTTTGAGCTTAGTTTGTTAAATTTACGATTAATTTAAAGATATTTTTAATTTGCTGATTAGCCATTTGGAAGAGTTAAGTAAATGTGATTATGATTTTTTATATATTTGTTTAGTTACTTGCGGGATTTAAATAGTAAATTATGAAGGTGAAGTTGAAATGTTTTATAACGAAGTATTTGTATGTATGATTTAGACTAATTAATCTTTATTGGGGACTTATATTCTTCAATTCCTCTAATTGATTGACGAAAATTTGACTCGAACCCGAAACGAAAATTTCGGATCCGGGTTAAAGATTTCGACTCGTTTTAAAAAAATGGGTCGGGTCCTGGTTGACTCAGAAGCCTGATATTGACCCGTACTGACTCGGAAACGGAAACCAAGTCAGCTTCGCGATACGAGACTCCGCATAATATCGCGTCGCATCAGAACTGCGAACCGCCTTCTCGTCTCGTCACGTCGCATACCGGGCGCCATAGCGTCTCGTCAGCCAGGCCGAGGCATCCGCATGCGTCATCCCGCGATTCCGTCGTCCGTTCCAACATCTGTCGAGTCCGTTTCGTCCGCAGTTGTCGTCGTTCTGTGTTGTCG